TCGCTCTCTCTCAATGAACTAGAAACAGAGTTTGTTGAGATTGAAGCCATGATCAATTCTAGGCCCATTACTTACTTAAATAAAGAACCCCTCAGAACCCTCTCCACTCAGTCCTGCACACTTTTTGATAGATAGACATTTGCTATCCCTTCCTCCAACTAGAATATCTAAGGATGATTTATCAGGATCGACAAAATCCATTGTGAAAAAATTCAAACATCAGCAGAATATACAAGGTTGTTCAATAAGTTCGCGGAGCGCCATCTATTCGTCAATATTAGACGTAAAACTTCCACGCCATTTTCACATTTGTTGTTTCTTAGGAACACGTCAAAAGTTTCATTTCGATCTGTTAATTTATTCATTGTTTAACTGCCATTTATATCTAATGTGTTGTGCCTTTTTTCAGGTATGGATAAAATTGAGCAACGTGCAGTTATCAAATTCTTTGTAAAGAAAGGTTTACAGGCAATGGAAATCCATACCGAAATGGCAAATGCGTTGGGTGAATCTGCTCCTTCAAAAACAATGGTTTGCAAGTGGGCTAGTTTACTCAAAAGTGGTCGTACCAGCCTTGAAGACGATCTGCGAGAGGGAGTCCAAAAACTGCATCAACACCGGAAATCATCGGAAAAATACAAAATATGGTATCGGAAGACCGTCGATTGACTGAAAGAGATTTAACAGAGGCTTTAGGCAGGCACTTCATTGGGCACAGCGAGCAATATTTTGAGTGTTAATTTGGATTTCAAAAAACTCTGTGCAAAATGGGTGCCACATACTCTAACGATACAGCAAAAACACATTCGGATGCGACTTTGCCAGCAACATTTGGAGCGTTTTAAGAAGAATAAAAGCAACTTTATCCGTCGATTTATCATAATGGATGAGACTTAGGTCTACCATCATGATCCTGAATCAAACAGGAGGCTAAGGAGTGGTGTGAACCCGGCTCTTCGGCACCGAAGCGAGTTCGTGTGCAAAAATCAGCCAAGAAGGTGTTAACATCAGTTTTTTGGGATGAGAAAGGAATTTTGTTTATAGATTACCTTCAAACTGGCAAAACAATTAATTCGGATTATTATTGTAACCTTTTGAATCAATTAGATGAAAAAATTCGTGAAAGAAGACCCAGATTACAGAAGAAGAAAATCATTTTCCACCAAAATAACACACCTGTGCACACAGCTCAAAAAACCATTGCTAAAATAACTGAATTGAAGTACGAATTGTTGCAACATCCAGCCTATTCGCCAGATTTAGCTCCCTCCGACTTCTGGCTCTTCCCACACCTCAAACAATATCTCCGTAGAAAACGATTTTCTTCAAACGAAGAGGTAATAGCTGCCATGGAGGGATATTTTACAGAGCTGCCGAAAAACCACTACAGTCAAGGGATCCATAAATTAGAAGACTGTTGGAATAAGTGTATTGAAGTTGAGGGAAACTACGTTGAAAAATAAAGTCATTTTTACAAATAAAAATTGGTTTCTTCATTTCCGTTCCGCGAACTTATTGAACAACCTGGTATTAAATACTTTTTGGAAATGCTGGCAAAAAGGTTATTTATTAAATTTAAGATCTGTTAATATATGCCAACAAAATTCAAAGGCAACTGAATTCAGACCAAATGACATAGTATTAATCTATGAAGAACGCTACCCTAGAAATATGTGGTCTCTAGGTAGAATCATAGAGATTTTCCCAGGAAGGGACAGCAAAGTTCGCTCATGTGCAATCAAAACTGGCACTGGACAAATAAGAAGGTCAGTTCAGTTAATTTACAATTTAGAGCTCAATGAATGAGAAGCAAAATTTGAAAATCAAAAATATATTATTCATAAGATTAAAACTTTCCCTTGTTTTTCATTATTGTATTCTTTTAATTGTTGTGTGCTAATAGTATATTTATTTCCCTGTTCTTTGTATTAATAGTTTACTCAAGAAACCTTTGTATGGAAAACTTGTTTAGAAGATCATATGTAAAAATATGGTAATTACTTTATTGCAATGTAATAGTATTGTTATAAACTCTATGTTAATAGTTTAGGTGGGGAGTGTTATGAAACATTTGTAGAGGACACTGTACCCCACCTGTTTCTTCAGTGCAGGATTGGAATTTGTACTAATCAGATCTGCTTAACTATGAGTAAGAATGTTTGTAAGGGAGTTGCTGGCCCTAATAATTAGTGGTAAAATTAATACTATGCTCTATTTCAGTAACTTTGTAAATAAATTATTTGTTGTTGTGTTCTAAACTGAGCCTTTCATCACCTGTTATATACAAACCTGAACCACTGAAGGACACGAAAGTAACAATGTGGATAGTTACAAGTTTTGCATTAGCATAATTTCATACACCTATAAAAAGTAATTTATATCAACTTTTGAATTCCAATTTCAATCTGCTTTAATAACATATAAAAATGTGAGGAGGAAAAGGAAGATTTCTGTGCAAAACCTTTGGGTGTGTTCTTTTGAAGATACCCTTTATTATATCTAGTTCTCCAACAGAAAAATTTTATGCATACAATTCTTCCAAATATTTCATAATGATTATTTTTACAATAAAATATGTGTTTTTCTTAAAATAATAACTGGCTTTAGAATTGGTGCTTCTTTGATACTTCTTTAAGGTTACAATTATTTGATCATGGTAAAACATGGAGTGGATAATTACCTTAATTTATATTAGAAAAAGCAATTAATTAAATATTTTACTCATCTTAAGCTAAATTGAAGTATTATATATAAAAAAATTAAATATATTGCTTTAAATGACTGACTTTCATTGTGGGTGCCAAATAAAAAAAAATAAATTTAAACTCTTAAACTGTGTGGTAGTGAGAGGAACTGTAGTTTGATTCAAGATAATAGAAAATCAATAATTATGTAACTTTAAAGTAAATTAACTCATTCAAGATTTAATTTCAATATAAAAGATACCCCAATTCCTTTTTTTAAATAATCAAAATCATTTAAGAACACTTCAGTTTCCATTAATTAAAATATGAAATTCCATTTCTACCAAATAATTAAGATAAAATGACATTCCCTTAATAGGTTTGGTTTTATTAGATTACGGAAAAGCACTCGAGGGCTATTTGCTTTCCCTTAATAAGAAAAGCTATTGCATAAGAAAATAATTCAAAGACAACCCACAGGACTTAGTTAAAAATATTACTGTTAGTAAATCTCAGCAAAATCAGCCATTCCTTATGATTTTCCAAGGTTTTAATCCATCAGTCTCTGAAGGTAAAGAAAAAGAAAAAAAAAAAAAAAAAAAAAGAGAGAGAGAGAGATACCCAAAACCAAAGATGCACCTGAGAATTGATTCTTAATCAGCCACACCAAACAAGAGTAGACCGAAAGAAAATGAAGAACACTGAGCGAAAAGTGATCTTTTCTGAAGAAAATATGACGCCTCAATTCCATACTCTTAATAAGACAAAATTGAAATTCTTCCCCTTTCTCTCTTTGGCGAGAATCATCCTTTTTCTCGATAACCAACATAACACTTTCATTTTCCTTTGGCACTGATGACTAAAATACTAGGACAGAGATAGTTTCAGCCTGAAAATGCCGAACTCAGGCAAGAATGCATATTTTTACAGTGGTCAGGAAGAATCTTAATAGGCATCTTCAGGCAATCTCACAGGTCACCTGGCTATGGATGTCCTGCTTCTCCTTTCTTACACTCTAGAAATTTCAGCCAAATCTGATTTTAAAAGCTGAGCAACCTCTAAGGAAAGTTATGTCACTTCGCCCACCTAAATTTTACAGGTTGGAATAGAAAAATTTTAATTATATTTTGAGCAACCAGATGAATTTACATTTTTCTTTTTATTCCCCAACACCAATCAAAATAAAAATGCTTTTAACAGTTCATTTTTGACCACCTGCAACCCTGCATCACTAGATGCATAAGAACAAATTTCAACCCCTTATCTTCCGAAGAGAGAAGATTCTTATTTTTCGTCTTTAACTGTCAGACAACAAAAACCCAAATTTCATGAATTCTATTAATACTTTAAGAAGTTAAAAATTGATTACTTCATTAACATACAAAATTGATGTGACTTCTAAAAATTTATAAATAATTTGATTAGCACAAATTGCTTTAATTCAAAGAATGACAGGAAAAGATGAGCATAAAACTCTAAATTAGTTCTACTTCAAAACATAATCAATATTCACTTTAAAAACATAAACTAAAACAAGCAATTGAATATACATTCCAAAAACACATATTTATAGAGGTCTACCAGCTACGAGATTACGGCATCCATGTTACAAAGCTAATCAATTTAGCCAAAGTTATAATTTTATTTAATTTTATATATATATATATAATATATAGTGTTATATATATAAAATATGTAACATTACAAGTTGTGAAAAACATAGAAATCCAATGCACTTGCATTTTTATTATACAGGAAGTGAACCTCATAATGAATTGCCAATGCTTTTAACCTTAGTTATTATTACTCACCTACTTAAGGTTTTTGGACTACATTAATCTTACATTATACCTTGTTAATATAACTTACATTAATTGCTACTCTGGCAGCATTTCGCACAAAATCATATTTAATATGCAGAATAATATCAATATGAAAGTAAAAATGTTTTTATCTCGGAAGAAAGCAGCATTGTCAGCATATAACTATTAGTTAATAAGATCAGAGATTTTTAAGGATGCTTAAGAGATAACAGAGGTCAGTCATTTTTAACAAATAATACTGAAAATAAAAGTGATATGTAACCATATAAAAACATATTTAAGAGGCATTAATAAATATATTTAAAGCTTACATAATGATGAATTTTCTAGCAGACAATGAATACTGATGTCTAACAAAGTATTCAAGCACTTAACAATTAATTTTCAGTTCAAAACTAATTGTTAACATTAATCTTAATATTGAGCAATTTAAGATGAAGTAGCTTCTGCTTTTCAATTTTTTTTTCCCAGAAAATATAAACTTTTAACTCACTTTCATTATTTTTTCCATATCTGCTAATCTGTGGGGTCTGTCCTGAAGGAAATTATAAATCTTGAAAGCAACACTAAGTCCAGCACAATTAACAACTACATCTAACTTTTTAAAATTGGATTTCACTGCTTCTAAAGTACTTTTTACATCGAACTCAGATGAAACCTACAAAATATTAAAATTAAATTAAAACATGATTCATTAAAAGCATAAATATTCAGATCAATGATGTGTCATGGTTTTTACTTAAAAGAACTAGGTGTGAAGAAAAATTATAATCCTCTGTAAGACGACGATGCAGGGACAGCACTGTTGTCATCTTAGAGAGGTGAAATTCAGTACTAGTGTTTATGTTCATAGAAATACTGGTTGCTTTCAGAAGTGATCACCTTAAAGAGGTGGTCATCATAACAGGGTTTATTGTATTTTAAATATGAAAACGAATGATACATTTTAAAGACTAATGAGTACAATAATGGTTAAAATGCTTTGATGGATTTATGAAAGCTGAATAAAGATAGAAAGTCAAAATGATCTTACCATAACAAGTATTTTTTAACCCACTGGATGTCATCAAAATAAATAATTAGTTAAAAATATATTATCTAAAAGAACATGAGCTCAGCAAAACAGATTACTTTTTATTTTGCACATCATTAATCATTTTGAAATTATATAATATTCCACTTTGGAATAACAGGTACAATATTTCTACAAAAGCCAATATGTGGAGAAGAACTATGTTTTGGCATTATTTTTATTTCTTGAAAATATATTAATCCAAAAAACTGAATACACAAGTGATGAAGATTGCAGGGTTGTAACATTGAATTATGATGAGGGTGTTGTCACAAAACATCATTAAAGATTGATAGTGTATGCTTCATATTAGTTTTGTGAGCGAGAACTAGCTCCTTTTCCATAGTTTAAGCCTGGAATTACTGCATCAATATATTTTACTTTGCATAGTTTCATGTATGATAAGAATGCTTTTACATACTAAAAGTTAAATAAATTTTGCTTATGGTACGAAAATTAAAATTTCTTACAACCTAGTGCCAGTAGTTGATGCCATATCTAGGGCAGTTAGCCGAACAGGTGAAAGTCAATTAGTTCTTTCTTGCATAGAACTGAGACCCAAGCCCTTCCCATTCCTGTGAAAATCCGATAACACTTATATTGTGAAAAGACATAAAATTATGTTTCTTTTAATGCTTCTGAATATTAGTAAAAATATATTTGAAAGTGTAAATGTATAAAACGTTACGAAACTAGTTTAGTCTACCTAGTTCACTCAAATCACACCACTTCTTCAAACATGTATGAAAGTAAAAAAGAGATACATTCTTCAAGAGACAAATGTTTTTTTTAACATTTAGATACATAATTTTACAATGTTCAACAAGATTTTGGAACAATGCAATACGTATAAGAGTGGACACACAATCAATGGATTGTCTTGAAAATATGAATTAGAATATGAAACACAAAGGGTAAAAATCTTTTAAAATTCAATTTAGGTAAATTTATGCATAACTGCCAATTTTACAGGAACAATTTAGTTTAAAAAACAGATTCTTTTAATGGAAAAAGTAACAAAAATAATTCTATCTATTGCTTTGTTAAAAAAAAAAAAAAGTATGTCAACTATAGATAATGCTTATTTAGAAGATGTTCTGTAGTATCAATAAATAATTTCTTAAACTCTTTTCACATTTAATACAGAAACACAGTTTAGCAACATTAGAAATTCAACAAATAAAGCAGAGTTATTCTGGCAAAGATTTTCAAGATGCAGAACACTGACATCATTTAAAAAATGAGCTCAAATATTTTACAAAGATGAACTTCTTTAAGTATTGATTTTTAACAAATGCATGAATAATAATAAAAATGGAGAAATATGATGATAAGTTTGTAATTATGAAACAACTTAGGACAATATTTGGCATTTTTTACAAATGAAAAGGTAAAAACTACTAATCAGGTGCATTTGGGTAATTTCCGTGATGTTTTTTAATCACACTCCCATACTATTAATATTTATTGCAAGTAGTCAGAGATTATCAATAAAGCTAAAGAAACATACTTTAAAAATTTAAAATACAAACTTAAAAATTTACTTTAAATTTTTAAAATATGAACTATCATAAAGTCTTCTCCAATCTTCTCCCAATCTGATCTGCTTCTGCTTAAAAAAAAACCATCTCAGCAATGTGACAGTGGTGGTCTTTCCAAACGTATCTCATCATTGCTCCTTTTAGAGATTTTACGCTAAAATACAGCAGTCCTGCAGAAATTTTCTCTCAGTTTCTTCCATTGCTGAAATATTTCACAAGCAATATTTTAAAACTGAGGCTAAAAATATCAGAATGTATTTAATCCATTGTAGCTTGGAATACCATAAAAAGAACATACTAGAAAAATTGTGGCACTGGTTGCCTGAAGAATAGTTACCCCCATGATTATCAGAGTTTGACAATCCTAAAAATTTGGCAATGTCTACTAAGATGATTGCAATAATACATAGGTACTACGATGATCACATATGCACAGTTTAGCCGAAAGGCGTGCAACGCTTCTCTCTCATACTGATAATATTTACATGAAATACAAGTCCTACATTTTAGATAAGTTTAATAATTTAAACAAATATTTTCAAAATATATAAAAATGGATATCAATATTAAAGTAAAAATTCAGTCTTTTGGGGGTCTTAACTATGCATCTCATTCTGGTAATCACTGGTACAGGACTTCCATTTTCATGGTCAGATATTGAAAACTTATATTTGACTGAAATGAGAACCCTTTTTAAGAAGGTGATAGGATTACAGACATATATTTCTAATGGGTACAAACGTTGAATTGGTTTAAGAATCTGCCCATGTGTTGTTCGAAGTTCAACACTATCTTTGTCTGGTATGATCTTGATCATTTTCCCAAGAGGCCAATTGATCCTGTTGTTTTAATTAAAATAATATCACCAACATTTATTAGAAATGCTCTTTTAATCTTTGATTTTTGAATAAGAGCTCCTTGATATTTACTTCAAAATCTTTTCCTCAAGTTGTCTTGCAAATATTGTCTTTACCTTACCCTTCTGTTTAAACTCTTATGATCTGCTGCATAACAAACTGGAGTTTCACATGCTTGGATTTCTTGCAAAAAATATTGCAGGACTCAAAGGAACAGGCTCGTTGTTCTCTGTGAGTAAGTTAACAGATGAGACTTGATAACTGCTTCACAGTCACCCAACATTGTTGCCATTTCCTCATATGTTAATCAAGCATGACCTAATACTTTTTTTAATAATTGTTTAAGTACAGCGTGTTTCAAAAAGAATACACATATTTCGAATGCATACATTTATTAAACTGTATGGCATACAAATATGAAACTTTACACACATATGTACGAACCTCTCAAGTTCAGATTACAGATGTTTCAATATGTCCTCCATCAGCGACACGAACAATATCAGATCGATACTCAAATTCCCCCCCCCATACGCGGGTAAGCATGTTCGTCGTCACTGATGTTATGACAGTACAGATCCGGTTCTTCACCTCTTTTAGGTTCTGTGGGAGTGGTGGTACATAAACATTGTCTTTAATGAAACCAAATAAGGAAGAAGTCAAGGGTGTCAAATCCGTTGACTGTGGAGTCCAGCTGAGACATGCTAAGACTCCAGCAATTTGACGACCAATCCAACAGTTTGGTAGAGTTTAATTCAGATAATCATGCACTTGGCGACACCAGAGAGGGAGTGCTTCATCTTGTTGAAAAATGAAGCTGTCTTTGTGCAGCCTTGGAAACAACCAGTTTTGTAACACAGCAAGATACTGCTGACCGTTAATCATGTTTCCATCAAAGAAGAATGGGCCGTAAACAGATGATCAGGACATTGCACAAAACACATTGATTTTGGGCGAATCTCGTACATGTTCAATGGCTGCAAGCGAGTTCTGTATGCCCCAAATTTGAACATTGTGTTTGTTTACATGACCACTAACATGAAAAGTTGCTTTATCACTGAATACGATGCTTTGTGCAAAACTACTATATCATTGTCAATAGCATCAATAATTTCATTACAAATGTCACACGTTTACGTTTGTCATCAGGACGCAAAGCCTATAACAAATGTAACTTGTACGGCTTCATAACCAACTGATGTCTGAAAATATGCCAAATTGTTGTTGTAGGCAGTTGTAACTCCTGACCGGCACGATAAGTTGATTGTGAAGGACTACGTTGGAAAGCAGTTTGAATTCATGCAATATTTTCATCGGGAACACAAGGGCAACCAGGACTCTTTTCTTTACATACACATCCTGTATTTACAAATTGTCGATACCATCTGCGAATATTCCACCCATTCGGAGGATCACTTTGGTATCTCAACTTGAAACATCTTTGCACTGTAATCAGGGAATTGCACTTCACAAACTTGAAAACACAAAATGATTTCTGCTGCGGAGTAGCCATTTTAAACATGTGACAGTTACCACGCAAAAACAGAAGACAACTGACATCTAGCAGCTATTAATATAAACTAGACTACGTAAGTTTCGCCAATAGCCGAGCCGAGGTGCAGTGATCGATAGTTTGGACAAGATAACACTTTGTAATATGTATATTCTTTTTGAAACACAGTGTATTTCTATCAATTTCTCCCACCAACTACCCTACCATCAGGCAGTAGATGCATTAAATTTCCAATCTATTTAGTAAATAAATGTATCGGCAGCGATATAATTTCAATCTAAACTTTGAAACAAGCTTTAAGCTCTTAGTTAGTGCCATTATTGCAGTAGATAATTTGTCATTTCCTTCTTTGAGCTATGAATCTATGTACAGCTAAAAAGAAGGCTTCAGTTGAGAGTGAAGTTACTAACTGAAGGTGTATGGGTCAATAGATAGCACAAGTAAACAGGCAAATTTCTGATTTCATCTCAGGAGTACTAAGCCAGCAAGGTATTTTCCACAAACTTCAAAAACAGAAGCTTCACATACTCTATTCTCTGGCAAAGGTGCAGTGACAATATCTAATTTCTTAGAAGAATACCTTTTAAATTTCACACACTTTAAAACACTGTATCATGTTATTCTTCTACCATCCAGAATCTCTCTCTCTCAGTATGTTTATCAGAATCTGAGTTT